ATATAGATATAGATATATATATAGATATATTTATAGATATCTATCTCTATATATCATTGTGTGGTGGATGCAAAAGAGTTACACCACCACCACCACGTGAGATCTCGGTGCAGAGTTCCCAGATCTGCACATCCTCTTCTGTGCCCATTATGAGGGGTGGTACCGGCTCCTCTCCTGGACTGAAATTGCTTGCTCTGATTTCACTGCGCACTGCGAGCTTCTCACAATGGGGGACAGAACAGGAAAAGCTGTACAGCACCCTGCCGGCCCCTTCCAACAGCCATGATCTATCTGCATTACGTAGAGAAGCGCAGAGACCTTACAGTAAAACTTCAATACTATGAAATGAATACTAAAAGAAAAATTGCTTTCTTGTATTTCAGATGTGTGAGATCAGCAGCATACTGATGGAGAATTTAGAGTTTGCCAAGGTAAGTTTGTCTCCACCCTGACCCCGTAGTTCTCCACTTGCCATCTCTTTTTCTGATAGGATTTCTATCGTTGCCTACAAGCCATCTGGTACCTGCATGGTATTTAATACTAACAAGTCACTTCATTCTGTAACCATCTGTGGTTCTCTGCCAAAGTATTATTGTTTCTTTTTCCCATGTTATATCGGCTGCCGTAGGTGGGATCTCCCAGGATCCTCTGCTCTCAATCCTGTGGTTGTTTTCCCCCCAAAAAATGCCGCATTAACCCTCTGCACACTGCTATCATACCCTCCATATTTCTAGCAAATGTTTGAATAAACACCGGGATTCTTTGTGTCAAAATGATCCCTCTCTGGCCGGTCTACTCTACTGTGCAAATTCCAAATGCTTACTTGCTTCTAGCATGCTTTAATAGACATATAGTCCCAATATGGGGATGAGCTGCAGACTCGGGTCTAGTCCTTGACTTTCACTATGCAATAGAAATGGAGTTGTCTGTGCTCAGATCCACATAGTTCTGGTCAGTGACCAGACCCGAGTCTTAATCTCTCCCCCAAAAACCGTGTCCGTCTGTCCTATATTGGCATTATATGTCCATTAATGTGTGCTATAAGCAAGCAAGTTAGTATTTGGCATGTTGCACAGTTGAGTAGGGACTGGCCATAGAGGGATCACTTTGACACAGGTGGCCATAGAGGGATCACTGATGCAGTTGGCCAGAGAGGGATCACTGATGCAGTTGGCCATAGGGGGATCACTGATGCAGTTGGCCATAGGGGGGATCACTGATGCAGTTGGCCATGGGGGGATCACTGATGCAGTTGGCCATAGGGGGGATCACTGATGCAGTTGGCCATAGGGGGGATCACTGATGCAGTTGGCCATAGGGGGGATCACTGATGCAGTTGGCCATAGGGGGGATGTTCTGTACAATCACTGGCAGCGACTAGGCAATGTAATATTATGTGAACTCATGTGACATCTGAAATGACATTTGTACCCTGCAGGGTCGAGGGACATTCCCCTGTGACATCTCTGTCCTGGAGATCCATCAAGATTTAGACTGGAACCCAAAAGTATCAACACTGAACGCCTGGCCGCTGTATATCTCAGATGATGGGGCAGTCATATTCTACAGGTACGCAGCATGACAAACCTCTGGGTTACATAGAGCCAATCTCCTAATTTGTGATTTTTGTATACCTGTAAGGGCAGATGTAGACAAGTAGATGTATTCTTCCCACTGACCCCCAATGTAAGGAGCATTCTTCCCACTGACCCCCAATGTAAGGAGCATTCTTCCCACTGACCCCCAATGTAAGGAGCATTCTTCCCACTGACCCCCAATGTAAGGAGCATTCTTCCCACTGACCCCCAATGTAAGGAGCATTCTTCCCACTGACCCCCAATGTAAGGAGCATTCTTCCCACTGACCCCCAATGTAAGGAGCATTCTTCCCACTGACCCCCAATGTAAGGAGCATTCTTCCCACTGACCCCCAATGTAAGGAGCATTCTTCCCACTGACCCCCAATGTAAGGAGCATTCTTCCCACTGACCCCCAATGTAAGGAGCATTCTTCCCACTGACCCCCAATGTAAGGAGCATTCTTCCCACTGACCCCCAATGTAAGGAGCATTCTTCCCACTGACCCCCAATGTAAGGAGCATTCTTCCCACTGACCCCCAATGTAAGGAGCATTCTTCCCACTGACCCCCAATGTAAGGGGCATTCTTCCCATATATATATATATATATATATATATCTGTCTTTATAGCAGATGTTCCCTGAGACCTAGACGTTCTTTCCATGGGTTCATCTGTGTTAACAAGGTTTATAAAAGGTGGATTAGATGATCAATTAGACTGAAATTTGTGGACACCATAGGTGATCGTGCGGTATTGTGTAAGTAATGTACGTGGTGCATTACCATATCTCACCAGCAGATGTCACTGTGGGTCAGCTCTGTGCGTACAGCACATTGATACCTCCTTCTCATATAATATCCTCTTCCTGTTTTCAGGGATAAAACGGAGGAACTGGTGGAATTGACGGACGAGCAGCGCAACGAACTGATGAAAAAGGAAAGCAGTCGGTTGCAAAAAACTGGACACCGTGTGACTTACTCCCCCCGCAAGGAAAAAGCCCTGAAAATCTACCTGGACGGAGCTTCGAGTAAAGACGCCACTCAAGACTGACAGGCGGCCCCCGGCGTCCATCTTGGAGAGCCGTGATTACACAGACACTGCCGCCCAGGAGTGCCTCTCTTATTTAAAGTCGGGCGCATCGAATTTTATGGGCTTCATCTTGCTCAGGTAGGATGCAGGGCCCCCCTGCGTTTTTGGCTTCTGGCTCTTCAGAAAACGGAAAGTCTTGTACAGTCTTTTTATTTTGCTGATAAACACATTTACCTCATTGAACGCTCGAAACGTTTTTATGTCAAAGTCTAAAAAATAAAAAGCGCGAAGCACAGCGGACGTGAAACGATGTAGATTCGTATTGTATCGCGATCAGACTGTGGCCCCGCACGGAGCGTGACGCGAGATTAGCGCCT